CATTGCGATTTGGTGAGTGTGCACGGGAGGGGCCCCCCAAGGGCTGCGGGGCCCCCCAAGGGCCGCGGGGCCCCCCCAGCGCTGCCCGCGGCGGCTCCGTGGGGCGGGGACCCCATAAAATCCCCTAAAATCCCCCCCAAAAGAGCCGCTGTCACCGCGGGCTGGCCACCGCGTGCTCCACGTGGCCGCCGTGGGACGCGGAGCCGGCTCAGCCCCGGCTGTGTCCCCTCTGTCCCCTCTGTCCCCTCCCTGTCGCCCGTTGGGACGCGCAGCCCTGGTGCCACATTCCCGCTGGGAAAGGGAATTCCCCCCGCTCCGGGGGGCTGCGGGGGGGTCTCGTCCCCCTCCTCAGCCGCGGGCTTGGGGCTCTCCCGGTGGTTCTTTTCCCTGGATTCGGCCATTCCAGGGGGTTTTCAGCGCCTCTCCCAGCAGCGAGCGGGGTCCGTGTGCTGGGGAGGGGGAGCGGTGCGGCCTCTCCAGGGACAGTTCCCAGCCGGCAGGGCAGGAAAGGTGCCCCAAACCCAATTTTTTCTGCTTTAATTGGCTCTTGGAGTCCGTTTGTCCATCTGGAGAGCGGCTCTGGCCGTGCAGCTTCTCTCATCCCGCTGCAGATGCAGCTTCGGATTCCCAAGGAGAAAAATCTCCAGCCCGAGCCTAGGAAGGGTAATTCTGGGGGAGTTGATTTTTTGATTTTTTTATTTTTTAATTTTTTTTTCCCTTCCTCCCCACTTGGCAATACCAACAGCACGCCTGAGAGCTTTACATTGAGTTTGCCATGGCAACCTCCGGCAGCCAAGTGTTCCCAACACCCCATTCCCAAAGTGGGAGAGGAGATGGACCCCGGTGGGAGCTGCCGAGAGGGGCAGAGTTTGGGGCTGGGGTCCAGGTGCTTGGGGAAGGTGGTTCCACCTCGATCCACCTGATCCAAGCTGGGATTTGTGGCTCTGGGCAGGGAATGTGGTGGCTGGTGATGCTTTTCCTTGGCCTGCTGGTGGGAGATGTCCCAGCTGGAGGAGCTGAGCTGGGGCGTGGATTTCATCCTCCTTCGTGGGTCAATGGAAAATCCTCCTGAGCTCGGGCAGGCGTTGCTCCATCTCCAATCATCCGTGGGAGGATGGAGCAGCGCTCCTGGGTCTGATCCGATGTCCTGAGGCAGGAGGATCCCTGTCCTTGCCCAGGAGCCCAGCACGTGCCAGGCCCCCGGTGCCACCGGCGGTGCCACCAGCGTGGCACCAGGGCCACCCACGGCGTGGCTGAAGTTGTCACTTGCAGCGTCTCCATCTGATTGATTTCTCTGCATCGCTTTTCCGCCTCCCAGGTTAAATCCAGCGGGGGCTGAGGCCGGGCTGGGCACGGGGGACGCTGGGCTGGTGGCCACGGGCACCGTCCCTGGCAGGACGGAGGTGCCGTGCTGCCGTTTATTATTCCGGGCAGGTTCAGCTGCAGCACCGCGGCGGCTCCGCTGCTCCTCGCCAGCTCCTCCTGCCTGGAGCCTGCACCAGCCTCCCCTCGAGGGTCCAGGGATGGATCCCCGGCTCCTGGGCCAGCTCGGGGAGGTGACACAGCTGGTGACACAGCACGGGGAGCTCAGCTCCCTGCTCCTCTCCCGCCTGGGCTGTTTGCTTCCCTCGGGGAGAACTCCTTCCTCTCCTCGTTCCTGGGGGCTCTGGGAATGAATTCCCGGGGTGAAGCCACTGGGATCTCCTCAGAGCCATGGCTCTGGTCCGGGTGGATCCTTCCCAGCTCGGCCAGGGAGCCTGTGCTGGTGGGAAGGGGCAGGGATGGGAATGGGGCTGTGATCCCAAAAGGATGCTCAGGGCGGACAGGAGCCATCCCGCACCTCGGTCCCAGGCTGGAATTACAGGTGGGACACGGGGATGGTGCTGATCCCTCCTTTCCCCCGAGGATGGAGCCAGTTCCAGGCTGGAATCTCACAGTGGGACGCAGGGACGGTGCTGATCGCTGCCCCCTGAGCTGGGTCAGGGGTAATTAAGGGCTAGGCCGATACAGTTCTAATTAACTGTCTCCCTCTTAACCTCTGAGCTCTCCTCAGACAGCGCCGGTTGCTATGAAAGAGGAGGAAATGAGCGTGGTGGGGTGGGGGAATTATGGTTTTTTCTCTTAATCAGCAGGAGCCTGCTTAATTGGGCCTGCCACCTCCTGCTTCCCGCTGCTGGGAGCTGCTGCCGTGCAGGGATGGATGAGCTCAGCTCCACGAGGAGCCGTGGGATAACGGGCTGGGAACGGGCAGGGATGCGGGAGCCAGGGATCCCTGCTGGATGGGGCAGCAGCAGCGCTCTGGCCTGAGGGTGGGAGCTGCAGTGTCCCCATCCCAGTGTCCCCATCCCTGTGTCCCATCCCAGTGTCCCCATCCCTGTGTCCCCATCCCAGTGTCCCATCCCTGTGTCCCCATCCCTGTGTCCCCATCCCTGTGTCCCATCCCAGTGTCCCCATCCCTGTGTCCCCATCCCTGTGTCCCCATCCCAGTGTCCCATCCCTGCAGCTGGGCCACAGCTCCCTCCCGAGGTGGGGACATTCTGACGAGGTGGGGGCATTCTGATGAGGTGGGGACATTCTGTCGGTGTCACTGCTGTCCCTGAGGTTCAGTTGGTGCCTGTGGTGCCCTGATAATGCCGGGAGCTGTCCTGGGGGTGCTGCTGGCGGGATAAGGAGCTGCTCCCGAGGGCCAGGCAGGGAGAGCTGGGGTTCCTTGGGGTTCCTTGGGGTTCCTTGGGGTTCAGTCACCCAAAGATTGAAAAGTCCCCGTGGCTGGGGCTGAGGTTGGGGTGATTTGGGACACCCCTGGTGATGGGACTGGGGTGATTTGGGACACCCCTGGTGATGGGATCGGGGTGATTTGGGACACCCCTGGTGATGGGATCAGGGTGATTTGGGACACCCCTGGTGATGGGATCGGGGTGATTTGGGACACCCCTGGTGATGGGATTGGGGTGATTTGGGACACCCCTGGTGATGGGATCAGGGTGATTTGGGACACCCCTGGTGATGGGATCAGGGTGATTTGGGACACCCCCGTGCTGATTTGGTGCCTTTCTGCGGGCTGTGTGAGGGCTGGTGAGCACCTCTGGGGTTGTCACCTCTGGGTTTGTCACCTCCAGGACAGAGCCATGTGAAGGTGATGTCCTGGGATCAGCAGTGGACATCCCCCCTCCCTCCTGTCCTTCCCTGTCCCTCCCCAGCCTGTTCTGCCACCCCTGAACCCCATCTCAGGCGGGTGCTGCCAGAGCAGCCGTTCTCCTGTTCTTTATTTCTTTTGCCCTTGGAAAAATTTTATTTTCTCTCCATGAGAGCCTCCCCTCGCAGCCTTTTTGCCTCTGGAGCGCCGGCAGCTTCCCTGGAGCTCGGGAACGCAGCTAACCCTGGCTGACAAAAAGCCCTCTGGCCTGTGCTGTTCCCTCCGTGTCCCTGTTTGTCCCTAGAACTCTGAAATGCCAGCAGGGAATCCCAGCCCCCGAATCCCTGAGGAATGGGGGAGCTGTGGGGTGCTCGTGGTCCCTGCCTGGATTGGTTGAAGCGTTTTTGGGGCTGTCCTGTCCTCGCTGTGGGGGTTGTGACCTGGGTGGCAGCGTTTAGGGACACGGAGAGCGCTCAGGGCGTCACCTCCACGCCGGTCATTGATGGAAAAAACCTCGATTTCTGAGAAATTCCCAGCTTTTGGTGGCTTCTCTGCCACTTTTCTTTTCCCCTTCGTGGTTCCTGTGGCATCTCCTGGTGGATGTTGGGGTGCTGCAGTCCCTTTCCCATGGATATTGGGATTTTGGGATATTGGGGTATCAGGATTTGGGATATTGGGACATTGAGATATCGGGATATTGGGATTTTTGGACATTGTGATATTGGGATATTAGGATTTTGGGACATTGGGATATTGGGATATCAGGATATTGGGACACTGGGATATCAGGATATTGGAATTTGGGGACATTGGGATATCGGGATATTGGGATTTTTGGGACATTGGTATATTGGGATTTTGGGACATTGGGATATCAGGATTTGGGATATTGGGACACTGGGATATCGGGATATTGGGATTTTGGGATATCAGGATATTGGGACACTGGGATATCAGGATATTGGAATTTGGGGATATTGGTATATTAGGATTTTGGGACACTGGGATATCGGGATATTGGGATATCAGGACATTGGGATATCAGGATATTGGGATTTTGGGATACTGGGATCCTTCCCTACCTGCCGGCAGGGCGGGGAGCGATGCTCCAGCCCCACGTCCCACCCAGGGGAGGAAGCAGCTGTTTCCCACTGCCGAAGGGTATTTTTAACCCAAAATCAGGGGCAGGGTTTGTCTGGGCCGAAAGTGAAGAACCACCTGGGCTCCTTTCCTGCCCGGCCCCGCAGCTGCCGCTTTTCCCCGCTCCGCACTCCGAGCTCAACTTCTCACCCAGGAATTTTTTTGCCCAAACCGCATCTCCGCCGCGTTCTCCCTAAAAATCCCCGCCTTGGGGGTAGCACCGCTCCCCTCTCCCACCCCACGGGGCGCCTCGCTGGTTCCCAAGCACTGCTAACGCGGATATTTTTGTTTCCCACGGTTGTTTTCGCAGCTCCAGTTGCTGTGGTATCCAGGGAGCCCCCCTCCTCCTCCTCCTCCTCCTCCTCCTCCTCCTCCCGCTGCAGGAGCTGCACGCCGGGCGTTGCTAAGGTCGCCTCCGCGGTAACATGCACATCCTGTTTACACCTTCATCCCGACAACTTGGGCTCGGATAGAGCCGCCCGTTCCCCCCGGGAAGCCCCCAGGGAAAGGGGCCGCACGGAGCATCCCCCACCGGAGCCGCCGGAGCCGCGAGCGAGGCCGCCCCAGGAGCGCCGCGCCGGCGGCACCGTCACTGTGACAAGATGACGAACAACGTGGCTGACCACCACCCCGGGAACTCGGTGGCCGAGGGCAACCATGAGGGGGACTTTGGGTGCTCCATGGTGGAGCTCAGGAACCTCATGGAGCTGAGGAGCGCCGAGGCCGTGGCCCGGCTCAACGACTCCTATGGTGGCGTCCAGAACGTCTGCAAGAGGTTGAAGACGTCGCCGGTCGAAGGTGAGTGGCCCTGCAGTGGGCTGGGGTTGTCACCTCTGGGGTTGTCACCTCTAGGGTTGTCTCCTCCAGGACAGAGCCATGTGAAGGTGATGTCCAAGGGTGGTGGCTCCCATGGTCTGGGGTTGTCATCTCCAGGATGGAAACACGTGAAGGTGATGTCCAAGGGTGGTGGCTTCCATGGTCTGGGGTTGTCACCTCTGGAGTTGTCACCACCAGGACGGAGCCATGTCAATGGTGGTGGCTCCAATGGCTGTCATGTGGTCTGGGGTTCACCTCTGGAGTTGTCACCACCAGGACGGAGCCATGTCAATGGTGGTGGCTCCAATGGCTGTCATGTGGTCTGGGGTTGTCACTTCTGGGATGGGGACACATGAAGGTGACACTCGAAGATGGTGTCTCCATGGGCTGTCTCATGGTCTGGGGTTGTCACCTCTGGGATGGAGCCACACAAAGGTCACATCCAAGGGTGGTGGCTGCAGTGGCCATGCCGTGGTCTGGGGTTGTCACCTCTGGGATGGAGCCACATGAAGGTGACACCCGAGGGTGGTGTCTCCAGCAGCTGGGCTCGGTTGGTCCCATCACGCTCGGTGTCCGTCATGGAGGCGGCTCCTGGTGCGTGGTGAAATGGTCATTTGGGGTGGAAGAGGAGGAAGAAGGAGGGGAAATGTCTTCCCGGGGGTTCCCTGAGGTGTAACCCCGATCCCCTGGGAGGCTGGAGCACGTGTGGGGTGTGGGGTGGGGTGGGGTGAGGAGCTCCTCCCCATGGCCCAGCTGCTGCTCCAGCTGTTCTGTTAAATCCTTTATGGAGTTGGGGTGGGAGGGGAGCTGTGAAGCTCAGAGGTGAAGCTGGCGAGGTGGCCGAGTGACACCTGCAGCTGTTGGTGCCACTTGGGGCAAGGGACGGGGACAGCACGTCCCCAAAGGGGGTGGGGGATGCACCCAGGGGTCGGGAGATGGGCCCACCCTGGTCTGGGGATTCTCCAAGGAAAACGTGGAGCGGTGGCAGTGACACCTGGGGTCACCTCTGGGACCCCTCAGGATGTCACCTCTGCCCTCACGGGCTGGGCTGGCCTTTGGGGTCCCCTCATCAGCGAGGCTGGTGGCACTGGGGGTGCCTTGGCACAGCAGTGGAGCCTTCCCTGGCACTGAGGGGTGCAGGGGGGAGAGAGACCCCGATTCCAGCTCCGAGGGTTTTCCTGGGATGAGAGTTCACTCCTGGATCCATGGGATGAGGATTCACCCCTGGATCCATGGGATGGGGGCTCAGCCCTGGATCCATGGGATGGGGGCTCACCCCTGGATCCATGGGATGGGGGCTCACCCCTGGATCCATGGGATGAGGGTTCAGCCCTGGATCCATGGGATGAGGGTTCACCCCTGGATCCATGGGATGGGGGCTCAGCCCTGGATCCATGGGATGAGGGTTCACCCCTGGATCCATGGGATGAGAGTTCACCCCTGGATCCATGGGATGGCTGAGCCCCGGCTGGGACAATCCGTGGGATATTTTTAGTGCTGCAAGGGGGGGATTCGAAGCTTTCCAGCTGGGAGCGGGAAGGAGAGACAATATCGGGATGTCGTTAGAGAAGGGGGGAAATCCCGGTGGAAATCCAAAGCCCAGGTCACAGAACAATGTGCTCGTGCCTGCCAAAGCGGGATCACGCAGCTTTGGGGTGGGAGGAGAGGCAGGAGGAGCGCCCGTGGCGTTTGGGATCCGTGGGGACCCTCCTGTGTCCCCCTGTGTCCCCCACGTGTGTCCCCACGTGTGTCCCCGCGGCTCCCCGGCCATGAGCCGCATTTTCCATGGGCTGGGTGGGAATCGAGGCCGGGACATCCCAGGATCCCGCTCAGCCTCCTCCTCCTCAGGGCTGGGTGGGGACACCCCGGCTGCTGCCAGCTGCCAGCTGTCCCCTCCCTGCAGCTGGGCTGGAGTCACAGCGGGAGCCGGGAATGGGATCTGGAATGGGAGCAGGGAATGGGATCTGGAATGGGATCTGGAATGGGAGCAGGGAATGGGATCTGGAATGGGAGCAGGGAATGGGAGCAGGGAATGGGATCTGGAATGGGGTCTGGGAATGGGATCTGGAATGGGGTCTGGGAATGGGAGCAGGGAATGGGATCTGGAATGGGATCTGGAATGGGAGCAGGGAATGGGATCTGGAATGGGAGCAGGGAATGGGATCCGGGAATGGGAGCAGGGAATGGAATCCGGGAATGGGATCTGGAATGGGAGCAGGGAATGGGATCTGGAATGGGAGCAGGAATGGGATCTGGAATGGGAGCAAAAATGGGATCTGGAATGGGGTCTGGGAATGGGATCCGGGAATGGGATCCATCCTGCTCCATCCCACTGCTGCTTCCTGCTCCAAGCGACACCGGGCTGGCACAGAGGTGTCCCCAGGGTGACACGGGGCTGGCACAGAGGTGTCCCCAGGGTGACACCGGGCTGGCACAGAGGTGTCCCCAGGGTGACACGGGGCTGGCACAGAGGTGTCCCCAGGGTGACACGGGGCTGGCACTGGCACAGAGGTGTCCCCAGGGTGACACCGGGCTGGCACAGAGGTGTCCCCAGGGTGACACCGGGCTGGCACAGAGGTGTCCCCAGGGTGACACCGGGCTGGCACAGAGGTGTCCCCGGAATGACACGGGGCTGTCCCTTGACCGAGGCCCGGGCCCCCGTCACTGCCAGGCTGCTCCAGGCACCACCGGGATGCATCCAGGGCCATTCCCGGAGCATCCCAGGACCTGGCAGCGGCCCCAGGGACATCTTAAGGTGGAAAGGGATTGGGGGGGTCCCTTAAGGGTGTCCTGGGCAGGGGGGGTTGCTCCCTCCAGGGACCCCTCAGTGTTCATTTGGGGTGGCCGTGGCGCATTGTCACTGTCCCCCATCACTGCCTGGGCGGGCTCTCGAGGGGCTCAGCACCCCATTTGTTCCACATTTCCCCGAAATCCTCACTCCCAGCTCTCTCCCCGGCTCCCACACTTTTCCAGCAGCACCAGCCCAAATTCTCCTCCATCTCCGGGTTTGGGTCCGGTGTTCCCGGGGCTGGAGACATTCCAGGCACTGCCAGGGCACAGGTCTCAGGTGGCTGAGGTGCTGCCAGTGCCAGAATTGCCCAGATTTGCCCAGTTTTGCCCAGATTTGCCCAGATTTGCCTGGATTTTATGGCTCATTTGATGTAAACAAAGGCACCGGTGCCAGCTGGCAGCGCCTGGGCACTCGCCAGGCCGCAGCCCTGGTGTCCCTGCAGCCAGCCTGGGTGAACAGAGGCTTTTCAAGAGAAGCTTCAATTCCTGAAAGACAAAAATCCCTTTAGAATGTTTTAAAATTTTGTGTGTTTTGTAATTTAATTTGTTTATATTTGTATTTATATTTTATTAATTTATGTATTGCTTATTGCAATTTAATTGTATTTTATTTACTTATGCATTATTTGTTTTCATAATTATTTATTTATATTTATACATTATTTATTATGTTTTATTATTTTATTTAGATATTATTATTTATACATCATATTATTCACATATTTAATATCATGTATTATTTATTATTTTACTTTTATTTATTTTTATTTATGTATGGTTTTATTACATTTTATTGAATTAATTTTTGTTTATGTTTTTATCTATATTTCATTTATAAATAAATATTTATAAATCTTTATTAATTTATTATTTATATTAATATTTATTTATAAACAAATATATTTATCAACAACATATTTATTCAAGAAATGAACACTTATTTATATTATTTACATTTTATTAATCTTATTTATATTTATATTATATTGTGTTATATATATTTTTGTTTATATATTTTTGTATTTATATATAAATATATTTATAGGAATATAATATAAAATATTATATTATGCTATATATTATATTATACTATATATTATATTATTTTATGTTATGTCATATTATATTATATTATATTATATTATATTATATTATATTATATTATGTTATATTATATTATATTATATTATATTATATTATATTATATTATGTCATATTATATTATATTATGTCATATTATAATATATTATATTACATTACATTACATTACATTACATTATATTATTTATAATTGGCTCCTTGCTGGCAGCAGCTCGCTCCAGGGCGGGCATGGATGGATTCCATGGGGATAAGAGTGGGATTTTCCCTGATCCCTGTTCTCCCCACGCCTCCAGGCCTGTCCGGGAACCCCACGGACCTGGAGAAGAGGCGTCAGGTCTTCGGCCAGAACTTCATCCCCCCAAAAAAGGCCAAGACGTTCCTGCAGCTGGTGTGGGAGGCGCTGCAGGACGTGACGCTGATCATCCTGGAGATCGCTGCCATCATCTCCCTGGGGCTCTCCTTCTACCACCCCCCGGGAGGGGACAACGAGCGTGAGTCTGGAATGGGGCTCTGGGATCTGCCCTGGGCCCTGGGGGAATCCAGGATCTGCCCCATTCCCTGTGGGAGCAGGGGTTTGGGATGTGCCCCATTCTCCATGGGAGCAGGGGTTTGGGATGTGCCCCATTCTCCATGGGAGCAGGAGTTTGGGATGTGCCCCATTCTCCATGGGAGCAGGAGTTTGGGATGTGCCCCATTCCCCATGGGAGCAGGGGTTTGGGATGTGTCCCATTCCCCGTGGGAGCAGGGGTTTGGGATGTGCCCCATTCCCCATGGGAGCAGGGGTTTGGGATGTGTCCCATTCCCTGGGGGAGCAGGGGTTTGGGATGTGTCCCATTCCCTGGGGGAGCAGGGGTTTGGGATGTGTCCCATTCCCCGTGGGAGCAGGAGTTTGGGATGGAGTGGTCGCCCTGTGGTGCAGATGGAGCTGGGAGCGTTGGGTGGTGTCATCTCCCCATCCTTGGGGGAGCTCAGGGAGGAGGAGGAAGGAGGAGGAATTGTTCTCTGGGATCGCATGAGTTGGATCAGGGCAGATTTTGGTTCTGGAAAGCAGTTTTATGGGGTTGTGGAAATGGGAATTCCCTGCTCCAGGCAGTGTTTGGGGTTCTCCAGTGGGGAATTCCCTGCTCCAGACAGTGTTTGGGGTTCTCCAGTGGGGAATTCCCTGCTCCAGGCAGTGTGTGGGGTTCTCCAGTCAGGAATTCCCTGCTCCAGGCAGGGTGTGGGGTTCTCCAGTGGGGAATTCCCTGCTCCAGGCAGTGTGAGGGGTTATCCAGTGAGGAATTCCCTGCTCCAGGCAGTGTTTGGGGTTCTCCAGTGGGGAATTCCCTGCTCCAGGCAGTGTTTGGGGTTCTCCAGTGGGGAATTCCCTGCTCCAGGCAGGGTGTGGGGTTCTCCAGAGGGGAATTCCCTGCTCCAGGCAGGGTGTGGGGTTCTCCAGAGGGGAATTCTCTCCGCGCAGTGTGCGGGCAGTCCGCGGGCGGCGTGGAGGACGAGGGCGAGGCGCAGGCGGGCTGGATCGAGGGCGCTGCCATCCTCTTCTCCGTCATCATCGTGGTGCTGGTGACGGCCTTCAACGACTGGAGCAAGGAGAAGCAGTTCCGGGGCCTCCAGAGCCGCATCGAGCAGGAGCAGAAGTTCACGGTGATCCGCAAGGGCCAGGTGATCCAGATCCCCGTGGCCGAGATCGTGGTGGGGGACATCGCCCAGATCAAGTATGGTGAGTCAGGGTGGGTCTGTCCTTCCCCTCGGGATCCTCCTCCCTGCTTCTCCAGCCCTTCTTCCTCCAGGACAGGCATCAGCTCCTCTCTGCTCCGTGGAAATGCTCCGTGGAGGTGATGTAGCTTCACTCACCTTCTCTCCTCGCCCTGGAGCTGCGCTGGCAGCTTCATTCTGGATCAGAATTAGTTTGTTTTCACAACCTTGTCCCTCTTGAGGGTATTTCCTTATTCAGGAGGTGCTGAGGAGCATTTCCTTGGCCAGGAGATGTTGGGGGGTGCTTCCCCATCCAGGAGGTTTTGGGGAACATTTCCTTATCCAGATGTTGCTGGATATTTCCTCATCCAGGAGATGTTGGGGAATCTTTCCTTATCCAGGAATTGCTGGGGAATATTTCCTCATCCAGGAGATGCTGGGGAATATTTCCTTGGCCTGGAGGTGTTGGTGGATGTTTCATTTTCCAGGAGCTTGGGATAAATCAGGCCCTGCTCCTCATTTCCCAGGGGGAATATTCCTCCTGTTCAGGAAGGAGATTGATCCAACACCGTGTTCCCAAGGGCCCAATTCCATACTTGGCAGGTGGATACGGTGGATTTTGGATGCATCAGGAGCTCTGGGAAGGATTCATTAAAACCAGATGGGGAAGCACTGAGCAAAACCCTCCCCAGGACTCTCCTCGCACCAGCGAGGATTTGGGAGCTCTTGGATTTTGTTTTATTGCACCTGTCCCTTCCAAAGCCCACCCGCTGCTTCTCCTCCCTCTGGAGCTGCTCTGAGCCTGAGTTTTGGATCCCATGGGATGGAGCAGAGCCCAGGCTGGGCTGATCCCGGTTTTTCCTCCTCTCCCAGGTGATCTCCTGCCAGCGGACGGGATCCTGATCCAGGGCAATGACCTGAAGATAGACGAGAGCTCGCTGACCGGGGAGTCAGACCAGGTCAAGAAATCGATGGATAAAGACCCCATGCTGCTGTCAGGTGAGGGGTCTGGGATGAGTTTGGATTGGGATCAGAGTGGGTCCTGGTCTCAGGGAGGTGTCCAAGGCCAGGCTGGACGGGGCTTGGAGCAGTCTGGGGTAGGGGAAGTTGTCCCTGCCCATGGCAGGGGGTGGATGGGGATGGGGTTGGAGGTCCCTTCCAGTCTGGGATTGTGTGGGATGGGAACTGGGGGTCTCACCACGACATTCCTGCCGTGCCAGGTACCCACGTGATGGAGGGCTCGGGCAGGATGGTGGTGACTGCCGTGGGCATCAACTCCCAGACGGGGATCATCTTCACCCTCTTGGGAGCAGGAGAAGGCGACGAGGAGAAGAAAGTGAAGAAAGGTAACGAAATGCCCTGGACCTGCCTTTTCCCTCCTTTCTCCCGTTCCTGGGAAGCATCCACAGGCTCCCCCCACGTTGGGATCAGCTCCCCTGGCCCAGGCAGGAACAGGGAGGGGTTGGGGGTCCCTCCCTGTCCCCTCCACCGTGCTCCCAGACCTCTTTGGGAGCTTCTCCAGCTCCCTCCTCTCCATCCTGGATTGTGGGGTGGGGGGATCCAGGATCCCACGGGAAGAGGGGCCGGTGGCAGTGCCCATTGCCCACCCCAAGGTGGTGGGAAGGGGAGTCCAGGGTGCCCACAGGGCGTTTTCAGCCCATCCAAACCCTGGAGAACTTGGCTGAGGATCCCCTGAGCGTTTCCTGAGCTCCCTGGGGGAAAGGAGGGGATGGCAGGAGGCAGAGGAGGGGTGGGACAGCAGCCAGGCTGAGGTGTTCCCATCTTGCTGGGATTCTCCCGTCTCAGCTTTCACATCCAGCTGCTTATTCCCAGCTGGGGAAGCTCCCTGTGTCCCTGATCCCCTGCTCAGCAGGTTTGGCCTCCCCGGGATCAGGCGCTGGCAGCAGCATCAGGCTGGCACCGCATCCCCGCGCCGGGGAGCCCTTCCCGGGAGGCGATGCCAGGGAGAGGCTTCCCGGGCTGTGCTGGCTGCCAGCTCCAGCTCTGTGCGGGGATCCTGGCTTCCCCAGCTCCGGGATCGCCGGGATTTGGGAGCTGTGGAGCTCCTGGGTTCGGCTGCCACCACGGAGGTGGCAGGACAAGGTGGCCTGGGAGTGGCACCGGGAATGTCACCAGGAATGGCACTGGGAATGGCACTGCCGTGGGTGCCACCAGTGCTTGGAGCTTTCCCAACCTTCAAGCTCAGTGGATCTGGGAGCAGAGCAGGTCAGGATTGTGCCACCAGTTTGTCCCCACTGGAGCTGGGGGTGACATAAAGCCCTTGTCACCTGAGGCTGGTTGAGGTGCCAGCCCTGGGCACCCCCGGGAGCCACCTGGACAGATTTTGGGGGGGTCAGACCTCCCTGCTCCGGGCCTGGCGCTGCCCACAGTGGGGGACAAGTCTGCGCTGGATCTCTGGCAGCAGGAGGGAGGGACCTGAAGCTGCAGGAGAGTTTCTTCTCCCAAAAATCTGCCCTGTGGAGCTCCGTGATTTCTCCTCCTGAAAATCTGAGGCCACCTCCAGCACCTTTGATGCACTGCTGGGGTCGTGGGGGCGATTTACAGGCAGGGAAAACCAGAATCCTTGGGAACGGGGTGCCCAGGGCAGCCTGGGAGCGGCAGAGCTTGGTGGAGCAAGGCGTGGTGTCCAGAGGGTGCCCACTGGAGTGGCCCCTGGGAGCATCCCAAGCTGGATGGGGAAGGTGGCTCCGTGTGCTCAGCCCTCCCCCCTTTCTCTCTTTGAACAGGTAAAAAAAGCGGAGCCCCCGAAAACCGCAACAAAGGTAACGCCAGCCTCTCCATCCTTTGAACCAGCACCACACTAACTACCGAGCATTCCTCCTTCCTTCTTCCTTCCTTCTCCTCATCAGTCTGTGCTCTTTGCTGCTCCGGCGGGACTCTCGCCTCGTTTTTCTGGGAAAGGGTGCAACGGTCCCGTGGCCGGTGGCCCTGGCGCGGCATCGTGGTGTCCCCAGAGCCCCAGCCCTGCTGGTGGCACCTTTTGGGGCTCCCTAAAAACAGAGTGAAGGGAATAAAAAGCAGTTCTATTTGTTGAAGGGCCCTCCAGGTAGATTTTGGGCAGGCAGAGCCTGCACCCAGAAATGGACCACGGGTTTTCACGTGGTCCGTTTGGATGTTGGGGGTTAATCTTAATTACAGCTTCAGGTGATGAAGGAATTTACGCCGATTTGCTGCCCCCAGCTCACTTTTGTTTACATTTCTCAGGCCTGAGGCAGTGAGGTGTCCTTGATTCCCAGGCCTGCAGAGGAATTGTTGTGTCTGCCCAAAACGGGAAAGCAGCAGCTGACACTGCACATAGAATTTAGAGTTACACACTGAACAACTGCAGGACTGTAAACGTATGGAAAATAGGAAAGCTAAAATCCTAATTCATCACTGGATGAGCCTTCCTGTTGTCCCTGCATGGGGAAAAGCCGTATTTCAGGGAGGACAGGGCTCTTCCAGCAGGACTTTTGGCGCAGCATCCCTTTCCTGGGATAACTCCACGAGTCGCAGCGGGGATTTGGTGGTTTAAAGCTTTTGTGGCCGTGTCACGCTGTCCCTGCACGGGGCAGAGCTGGAGGTGCCCTCCTGGCATTCCTGGGATGAGATCTCCCCCAGGGCTGGGCCCACGGGACGCTTGCACCCTGTCCTGCCATGGCCTCGACTCCGTGAGCGTCTCCTCGCCAGTGTTTCTCACACTGTTCTTTGCAGGCTGTGGAGGAAGCCCCATTTCTGCACCTCTCTCTCCACCCCTCTCTCTCTTTCTCTCTCTCTCTCTCTCTCTCTTTCTCTCTCCTCTCAGCAGTTTGAGTTGCCCTCCTTGCCGTCAGATGTGTCCGGGTGCTTTGTTGTGTCCGTGTCGGGTCTGTTGTCACCGTGGAGGTTCCTCTGCGGAGCTGCTCCGGGGTGGCCTCCAGCCCAGCAGGGGACAGGTCCCGGGGTGGCCCTGGGGCCGCTGCTGCTCCTCCAGCTCCAGCAGCTGAGGAGGAACCTCTGGGGGGGCTTCCCATCCCTCTCCAAAGCTTCCAGGGTTTCCCCAGGGCCTTCCAGCTGGATTAGCCCCATTTTAGGAACGGGAAGCCGGGCTGTCTCGGCTCCCAGAGGCGTGGCGGATGGCTCCAGGCTGGGATTTGAGGATTCCTGGCTCCCTGCTCTTCAATCTCCATCCCAATTTCTAACCCTCCCCTCCATCTCGCCCCCTCGGTCGCTTCCTGCTGGGCTGCCCACGGGGCGCTGCAGAGGTGGCACCGGGGACGCTCAGCGAGGGGCTGGGGACACCGGAGCATCTCTGGGCTCACCCCACAGCGCTCCCAGTCCTCCGCAGGCTTGGAAGAGACCCCAAAATCTGGCCTAGAGGGTTTCTCGCAGAGGTGTGACCGGTTCCAGAGTCACCTCTGAGGATCCCTAATCCGTGGGCAGGGGGTAGATGACACAAAGCCACCCCGGAGAGAGGTGGCAGGGCCCTGGGACACGGAGCTTCCATGTGCTCGGACGCGTGTGTGGTCGGGAGTGGTTCTTGTCCTGGGATTTCTCTCTCTCTCGCTCTCTGCCACCACCATCCTCCTCCTCAGTGGTGTCCTCCGGGCTTTCCTGCCTCTCTCTCCTATTCACACGTGGTGTCTTGTTTTGCCCCCCGGGCTGTAGCTAAAACTCAGGATGGTGTGGCCTTAGAGATCCAGCCCCTGAAGAGCCAGGAGGGGGTGGAAAACGAGGAGAAGGAGAAGAAGAAGGTGAAGGTGCCCAAGAAGGAGAAGTCGGTGCTGCAGGGGAAGCTCACGCGCCTGGCGGTGCAGATCGGGAAGGCAGGTGAGTGACAGTGACAGTGACCCCTGAGCTGCTGGGGCAGGGCTGTCCCTGTCCCCGTTGTCCCCTCACCTCATCCTCGTCCCCAGGGCTGATCATGTCGGCCATCACCGTCATCATCTTGGTGCTCTACTTCGTCATCGACACCTTCGGGGTGCAGAAGCGGCCCTGGCTGGCCGAGTGCACCCCCATCTACATCCAGTACTTTGTCAAGTTCTTCATCATCGGCGTCACCGTGCTGGTGGTGGCCGTGCCCGAGGGGCTCCCGCTGGCCGTCACCATCTCGCTGGCCTACTCCGTCAAGGTGAGGCCTGGGCGCGGCGTGAGGGGGGCGAGGAGGGGGATCCTGCCGGGCCTGACCTCCTGGGTGCTTGCAGAAAATGATGAAGGACAACAACCTGGTGAGGCACCTGGACGCCTGCGAGACCATGGGCAACGCCACGGCCATCTGCTCAGACAAGACGGGCACGCTGACCATGAACCGCATGACGGTGGTGCAGGCCTACGTGGGGGACACGCACTACCGCCAGATCCCCGACCCCGAGGCCATCCTGCCCAAAATCCTGGACCTGATCGTGCACGGCGTGGCCATCAACTCCGCCTACACCTCCAAAATCCTGGTGAGCCGCGGCGCCGAGCCTGGTGGCCGTCCGTAGCTGCGCGGCCGGGCTCGGCATGGCTTTTCCGTCCTTTCCGCAGCCGCCGGAGAAGGAAGGGGGGCTGCCCCGGCAGGTGGGCAACAAGACCGAGTGCGCCCTGCTGGGCTTCGTGCTGGACCTGAAGCAGGACTACCAGGCCGTGCGCAACGAGGTGCCCGAGGAGAAGCTCTACAAGGTCTACACCTTCAACTCCGTGCGCAAGTCCATGAGCACCGTGCTGAGGAGCAGCGGCGGCGGCTTCCGCATGTACAGCAAGGGCGCCTCCGAGATCATCCTGCGCAAGTAAATCCCGCTCCTGCTCCTCGTCCCGCCGGATTGACGGGATCTGGCGGCCCCGGGGGGCAAGGGTGGACGGTGGGAGGGTTTTTGGGGGAGCTGGAGGGGGTTGTGGGGAAGGGGATGTCCAGGTGGGGTGTGGCGAAGGTGCTGAGTGGTTTTGGGGTGGGTTTAGGAAAGCTGGAGGGGGTTGTGGAAGGGGAGTGTGCTCCTTTTGTGCCAGGAATGTGCCGAGTGTTTTTTTGGGTGGGTTTGGGAAGGCTGGAGGGAGCTGTGGACGAGGGGACAGCCCCGTCCTGCAGTGGGGGTGCCAGGACTGTGACGCTGCCTCGCCTCCCCTCAGGTGCACCAAGATCCTGGACAAGAACGGCGAGCCGCGGGTGTTCAAGGTGAAGGACAGGGACGAGATGGTGAAGAAGGTGATCGAGCCCATGGCCTGCCACGGGCTCAGGACCATCTGCCTGGCCTTCCGGGACTTCCCTGCGGACGCCGAGCCCGACTGGGACAGCGAGAACGAGATCCTGTCCGACCTGACCTGCATTGCCGTGGTGGGGATCGAGGATCCCGTGCGGCCTGAGGTACCAAATCCCACCTGTCCCCCCTGGCCTGTGCTATTCCCAGCCCTTCTCCTGCTGCTCAGGGCCATGATCCCCTCAGGAATTCCATGATGTGCCCTCAGCTCCCTGCTGCGGCATTCCTCTCCCGTTTTTGGATAGAACAACCCCGTGGCAGCATGTTCCCACCCAAAATTCCCCATCCGTGGGGTCTGTGCTGCTCCAGGCTGCACCAAAGGTGGATGGAAACAGCCAGGAAGAATCCCTGGGCTCCTGGAGCTGTTTTTTCCCTCTGAGCTGTCTGCTGGGCTAATGCAATAATCCCTCGTTCCTGCCCCTGGATTCCAGTTTGGAGCTCGCCCCCCCTGCTCTCCTGGTCCCTGATGAGATGTTCAGGGATCTGGCAATCTGGGAATTGCATTACGGATCCCCTGGCTGCAGCGGCTCTGGAGGCTCCTGATTGGATTTGCTCATTCCTCATCTAATTCCCTCTCTTCCCACACTGCTCCCTGATGGAAAAACCCATTAGCGGGGCGGGAGAGGATGAAATTCCTGTTTTTGTGACTGGCCTCGGCACCCAGGGGGGTGACAGCAAAGCCCCTTCCCCCTGGGGTGGCAGACACAGCTCCCTCACCCCTCCAGAGCCTTTTCCAGATCTTTTTGGGGACCGGGAGCTGCCTGGTCCAGCGCCAACCCCGTCCCTGCCCGCAGGTGCCCGATGCCATCCTGAAGTGCCAGCGCGCCGGCATCACCGTCCGCATGGTGACAGGGGACAACATCAACACCGCCCGGGCCATCGCCACCAAGTGCGGCATCCTGCTGCCCGGGGAGGACTTCCTGTGCCTGGAGGGGAAGGAGTTCAACCGGCTCATCCGCAACGAGAAGGGAGAGGTGGGAGAGATCTGCCCTGCACGGGGGAGGGAGCGGCAAAAGCACCAAATCCTGCTGGGCTTTCCAAATCCTGATGGGCTTTCCAAATCCTGCTGGGCTTTCCAAATCCTGCTGGGCTTTCCAAATCCTGATGGGTTTTCAGAATCCTGATGGGTTTTCAGAATCCTGCTGGGTTTTCCAAGTCCTGCTGGGCTTTCCAAATCCTGATGGGTTTTCCAAATCCTGCTGGGGTTTCCAAATCCTGATGGGTTTTCAGAATCCTGCTGGGTTTTCCAAGTCCTGATGGGTTTTCTGAATCCTGCTGGGCTTTGCGAATCCTGCTGGGTTTTCCAAATCCTGCTGGGCTTTCTGAATCCTGCTGGATTTTTTGAATCCTGCTGGGTTTCCCAAATCATGATGGGTTTTCCTCTTCTCCTTGGATACGGAAGCTGCTGGGATGCTCAGCAGTTTTTGGGATGAAGCCACTGTCCTGTCCCGGTTGGGATTTGCTGTCTGGTGGAGCAGAAGATTCCTGGGGGGAATTCACTTCCCTTTTTCCTGGTGCTGCAGGTGGAGCAGGAGCAGCTGGACAAGATCTGGCCCAAGCTGCGGGTGCTGGCACGCTCCTCCCCTACGGACAAGCACACCCTGGTGAAAGGTGGGCACTGCCCCTCCCCAGGGGCTCATCCCTGGGGTTTTTCCAGCCTGATCCAGGCTGGGAGCCTTCCCATGGGGTTTAATTCATCGTTTCCACCTCAGGAATCATCGACAGCACCGTGGGTGACCAGAGGCAGGTGGTGGCTGTGACAGGAGACGGGACCAATGATGGCCCAGCCCTGAAGAAAGCAGACGTTGGGTTTGCCATGGTAGGGCCAGCCTGGGGTTTCTTCTTTGCTCCACGGGGTTATTCCACTGGAATTGCTTCCAGACCTTGGAAACTCTTTTCCAAATCTATGGCATGGCCTAAAAACCCAAAAAGGAATTTTCTTCGGGTGTTGGATTTGAGTCTGAGCTGCACAGGACTGTGAGCAAGGGATTGGGAATTCCGTGGAGGTCCTGGTGTCTCTCCTGGATCCAGGAAAGCTGTGGGAGCCCCAGGATTTGGTTTTCCCTGCAGCTCTTCACCCCAGTTCCAGGCACGGTGCTGGATCAGGCTTTGGGAATTTATTTATGGTGGGAAACTGGTTTGATGTTTTTTATCCTGTGTGAAAGGAGCAGGGAGATAAACCTGTTGCTGTTAACAGGTTTGATGTGGATTAATTTTAGGGCCATGAGCAGGAGATGGATGGGGAGGATGCACATGCAGTTTTGAGCAAATTAAAGAATTTTTGGGAAGTGTTTTTAGGAATGTGTTGAACATCCAAGTGCAATTCCAGAGCCTTTAGGATGAGCAGGGAAGGCTTTTCCCCTAAACCTGCAACAGGCAGGGATTTCCTGTTTGTGCTGGGATTGGGATCCGGGCAATCCGGGAAAACGCCAGGAATTCCTGCATGGAATTCCTGTAGGGTGAGCGCCTCGCTGTGCCGGCACCGGGAAGCACAGCCCGACCTGGTTCCCTGGAGATGCTGCTGGAGAAATTTGGGAAGCTGTGGGGCTGTTCTCACCTCGGGGATGGGGCAGAAACCTCTGGGCTGGGCTCTCCCTCCGTTGGGATCCCAGCAGAGCTGCCCAGCCCGGGACGGAGCCATTCCCTGGCATGAGGAGGCAGCTGTTTTCCAGTTGTTTTCCAGCTGTTTTCCGGTTGTTTCCTGTCTGTTTCCCAGCCATTTCCCAGCTGTTTTCTGGCTTTTTTTTCTGGCTGTTTCACAGCTGTTTTCCAGCTCTTTCCTCAGCTGTTTTCCAGCTGTTTCCTGTCTGTTTTCCGGTCTGTTTTTCCAGTTGTTTTCCAGCTTTGTTCCAGCTGTTTTCCAGCTGTTTTCTGGGTGTTTCCTGGCTGTTTTCCAGCTGTTTCCCAGCTGTTTTCTGGCTGTTTCCCAGCTTTTCTTCACCGTGGCTCTGTCTGGGATGTGCCCAGGGAAAGCTGGGCTGCCTCAGAGCCTGGCCTTGCCGATCACGGATCAGCAGCAGCTCCGTGGGGTTTTCCCGCTGGGAACATTCCCGGGAAGCAGCAGAGCCAGGCAGGCACCGTGACTCACCCCTGGCTCTGTCCTCCAGGGCATCGCGGGCACGGACGTGGCCAAGGAGGCCTCGGACATCATCCTGACGGACGACAACTTCACCAGCATCGTCAAGGCCGTCATGTGGGGCCGCAACGTCTATGACAGCATCTCCAAGTTCCTGCAGTTCCAGCTGACCGTCAACGTGGTGGCCGTCATCGTGGCCTTCACCGGGGCCTGCATCACCCAGGTGAGATCACCTGGCCAGGTGGGACATGCTGGGGAATCATCGTGGCCTTCACTGGTGCCTGCATCACCCAGGTGAGATCACCTGGCCAGGTGGGACACAGGGTCTTCACCACGGTGATCACCTCGTCACCTGGAGAGGAGGGGGATGAATGAACGTGTTGGATTTCAAAGGTTTAGTCTGGGGTGTTTTCCAGTGGAGGAGGAGGATAAATGTCTTGGTTTGAAGAGGTTTCCAGTGGATTCTTTTCCAGTGGAGCAGGAGAACAAACCTGTGGGATTTCACAGGTTTCCTCTGGGTTGTTTTTGCAGTGGAGCAGGAGATAAAACTGGTTGGATTTCACAGGTTTTCAGTGAGTTGTTCTTCACTGAAGAAGAAGAATAAATGTCTTGGTTTGAAGAGTTTTCCACTGGATTCTTTTCCAGTGGAGCAGGGGAACAAACCTGTTGGATTTCACAGGTTTTCAGTGAACTGTTCTTCACTGGAGAAGAATAAATGTCTTGGTTTGAAGAGTTTTCCAGTGGATTCTTTTCCAGTGGAGCAGGTGATTAAACTGGTTGGAATTTACAGGTTTCCAGTGAGTTGTTCTTCACTGGAGAAGGAGAATAAATCTGTTGGATTTCGCAGGTTTCCTCTGGGCTGTTTTTTCAGTGGAGCAGGAGATTAAACTGGTTGGATTTCACAGGTTTTCGGTGGATTGTTTCTCGGTGGAGCAGGAGAATAAATGTCTTGATTTTTAACAGATTTCCAGTGGGCTGTTTTGTAGTGGAGCAGGAAAACAAACTGCATGGAATTAACAGGTTTCCAGTGAATTGTTCTTCACTGGAGGAGGAGAATAAATCTGTTGGACTTCACAGGTTTTCAGTGAGTTGTTCTTCACTGGAGGAGGAGGATAAATGTCTTGGTTTGAAGAGGTTTCCAGTGGATTCTTTTCCAGTGGAGCAGGAGAACAAACCTGTGGGATTTCACAGGTTTCCTCTGGGTTGTTTTTGCAGTGGAGCAGGAGATAAAACTGGTTGGATTTCACAGGTTTTCAGTGAGTTGTTCTTCACTGAAGAAGAAGAATAAATATCTTGGTTTGAAGAGTTTTCCACTGGATTCTTTTCCAGTGGAGCAGGTGATTAAACTGGTTGGAATTTACAGGTTTCCAGTGAGTTGTTCTTCACTGGAGAAGGAGAATAAATCTGTTGGATTTCACAGGTTTCCTCTGGGCTGTTTTTTCAGTGGAGCAGGAGATTAAACTGGTTGGATTTCACAGGTTTTCGGTGGATTGTTTCTCGGTGGAGCGGGAGAATAAATGTCTTGATTTTTAACAGATTTCCAGTGGGCTGTTTTGTAGTGGAGCAGGAAAACAAGTTTCATGGATTTAAGAGGTTTTCAGTGGATTGTTCTTCACTGGAGGAGGAGAATAAATCTGTTGGACTTCACAGGTTTTCAGTGAGTTGTTCTTCACTGGAGGAGGAGAACAAACCTGTTGGATTTCACAGGTTTCCAGTGGGTTGTTCCTCACTGGAGCAGGAGAATACATGAACCCTTTGGATTTAGCAGGTTTCCCATGGATTGTTGGAGTTTAGGGATGTGACCAAGGGGTCAGGAGATGCCTTGTGAGGCTGTGCAGGGAGCTCGGAGCAAAGGAGAAATGTCTTGGGAGAGGTTTGGGAAGGTTTTAGAGATCCCAGAGCAATTCTGGGGTTGTTTTCATGAGGAGAGTGAAACAAAGAGGAGAAAAAAGGTTTATTTAGTTGATGTGACATGTTCTCCCACGCTTTACCTGCAGGACTCTCCCCTGAAGGCCGTGCTCAGGGCAAAGGAGGAACGTTTGGGAATGTTTTAGGAAGGTGTTAATGATTCCAGACCAATTCTGGAGCTGTTCTCATGAGGAGAATGAAAGAAAGAAGGGAAGAAAAGTTGATTTTGGTGGCTTGGTGTGTTCTCCCCCTGCAGGACTCTCCCCTGAAGGCCGTGCAGATGCTGTGGGTGAACCTGATCATGGACACCTTCGCCTCGCTGGCGCTGGCCACGGAGCCGCCGTCGGAGTCGCTGCTGCTGCGCAAACCCTACGGCCGCAACAAGCCGCTCATCTCCCGCACCATGATGAAGAACATCCTGGGCCACGCCGTCTACCAGCTCACCATCATCTTCACCCTGCTCTTCGCCGGTGAGCACGCGGCCCCGGAGGGTGCTGGGGGCAAGGGGAGAAGGGGGAAATAAAGGAGAAGGGAAAAATGGGAAAGGGAAGGGAAAGGAGGAAAGGAAAAGGAGTAAAAGGAAGGAGAGAAGGAAGGAAAGGAAAAGGGAAGGGAAACGAGAAAAGGGAAAGGAGTAAGGGAAGGAGAAAAGGAAAGGAGAGAAGGTAAAAAAAGGAGAAGGAAGAAAAGGAAAAGGAAAAGGAAATGGAGGAAAGGAAAAGGAGAAAAGGAAAGAAGAGAAGGAAAAAGAGAAGGAAGAAAAGGGAAAGAGAAGGGAAAGGAGAAAAGGAAGGGGAGAAAAGGGAAAGGAGAAAAAGGAAGGGAAAGGAGAAAAGGAAAAGGAGAAAAGGAAAAAAAAGAGAAGGAAAAGGAGAAAAGGGAAAGGAGAAAAGGGAAAAAAAGGAGAAAAGGGAAAGGAGAAAAGGGGAAAAAAAGGAGAAGGAAAAGGAGAAAAGAGAAAGGAGAAAAAAGAAGGGAAAGGAGAAAAGGGAAAAAAGAAGGAAGAGGAAAGGGAAAGGAGAAAAGAAAAAGGAGAAAAGGAGAAGGGAAGGGGCAGATATTTCCTTCCCCAAACCCCCTTTTTCCTGCGCAGGGGAGAAGTTTTTCGACATCGACAGCGGCCGGAACGCTCCCCTGCACTCTCCCCCCACCGAGCACTACACCATCGTCTTCAACACCTTCGTGATGATGCAGCTCTTCAACGAGATCAATGCCCGCAAGATCCACGGCGAGAGGAACGTCTTCGAGGGCATCTACCGCAACCCCATCTTCTGCGCCGTGGTGCTGGGCACCTTCACCGCCCAGGTGAGGCCGCGGGGCTGCCGGGGGCTGTGTCACACCCAGGCTCGGCTCTGTCCCCCTGCAGCGTCTTGGTGGCACAGGAACCACCCTGGATGTGCTCAAGGCTGGGCTGGGTGGAGATCAGAGCGACCTGAGCTGGTGGGAGGTGTCCCAGCGCGTGGATCTGGGTGGGGTTTAAATCCCTTCCAGCCCAAAACATCCTGGGATTCCATGAATTGGGGTCTAGAGCGTGTTGGGAGGTGAATCTGGTGTTTCATGGAGTTCCTGGACTGGGGGTGAAGTCCCTGCTCTTTTCTGGTGTTCCTCAGAATTTGCAATGTGGATATGAGGTCATTGCTCCTAAAATTCCCAGCCTGGATGTGAGGATCCTCCTCCTTTCTGGTGTTCCTCAAAATTCCCAGCCTGGATGTGAGGTCCTTGCTCCTTTCTGGTGTTCCTCAAAATTCCCAGCCTGGATGTGAGGTTCCTCCTCCTTTCTGGTGTTCCTCAAAATTCCCAGCCTGGATGTGAGGTCCCTGCTCCTTTCTGATTTCCCATAAATTTTCCAGTCTGGATGAGAAGTCTTTGCACCTCTCTGGTGTTCCAGAAAATTCCCAGCCTGGAACTGAGGGCCTTGCTCCTGCTGTAATCACAGGAAAGAGGGAAAAGTGTGGTCCAAGGGGACCTTTCCATGCCCTCGGAGCTGCCCAGGGTGTGACTCTTGTCTCCTGTGCCGCAGATCATCATCGTGGAGTTTGGTGGGAAGCCCTTCAGCTGCTCCGGGCTCACCCTGAGCCAGTGGTTCTGGTGCATTTTCATTGGAGTGGGAGAGCTCCTGTGGGGCCAGGTAAGGGCCAACCCCAAAATCCTGCCCCGTTCCCCTTGGTTTTCCTCCAGGACAGCTCCTTAGGAAAAAGAGAAAAGGAAAAAAAGAAAAGGGAAAGGAGAAAAGGAAAAGGAGAAAAGGGAAAGGAGAAAAAAGAAGGGAAAGGAGAAAAGGGAAAAAAGAAGGAGGAGGAAAGGGAAAGGAGAAAATAAAAAGGAGAGAAGGAAAAGGAAAGGGGCAGATATTTAGGAGGGGGCTGATGTCCCACCCCTCCCCAGCAGCAGGAGAGGAGGTTGCTCAGCCCCACCCTGCTGCAGGTGTGACACACCCAGATGTGACAGTGACATCCGCCGCTGGCTCCCGCCACCTCCCTGGGGCTGGTGGCACTGCCACGACCTCAGTCTAACCATCAGTATTAGATTACATAAAAAATTATACATGAGAACCTAAATTATAAATTATATAAAATATAATGCATATAAAATATGCATAAGAATATATATAATATTATATAATATAATATATAATATATAATATATAATATATAATATATAATATATAAATGTAATATTATATATAATATATAAAATATAATACATATATAATACAATAGATATAAAAATTATATATAATATATAAATAATATATACTAAATAAATAATAAAATTAATTTTAAAAATAAAAATTTATAATAAATAATAAAATGTATATAAATGATGATATATATGATATAAATAAAAAATATAATGATGAATAAATAATATTAAAATAAATAATAAATGAATAAATGAATGAATAAATAAATAATAAACAATAAAAATATATATAAATAATGATATATATATGATATAATGATATATACATAATATAATGATATATACATAATATAATGATATATACATAATATAATATAATATAATATAATATCATATCATATCATATCATATAATATAATATAATATCATATCATATCATATCATATCATATCATATCATATCATATAATATAAATGATACACAACAGTAACACCCTCTGCCGTGTCCCCGAATGTCCCCAGCTGATCTCCACCGTCCCGACGAGCCACCTGAAGTTCCTGAAGGAGGCCGGGCACGGCATCACCAAGGAGGAGATCCCCGAGGAGGAGCTGCCCGAGGACGTGGACGAGATCGACCACGCGGAGATGGAGCTGAGGCGGGGGCAGATCCTGTGGTTCCGGGGGCTCAACAGGATCCAGACCCAGGTACTGGGGGGGCAGCGGGGCTGGGGGGGCTCTGCCTTCTCTGTCTCCTGTCTCTCCCTCTCCAGGATGCCATCGCCCACCCCCAGGCCAGGCTTCCACTCTGCCTTCCTGGAAAACCTGGATTTTGGGATGGCTGGGGGTGTCCAGCAGGACAGCAGTCCAGCAGGAGGCTGGAGGTGCTGCTGATGGTCAGCTCACAGCACGGGGGGGGCTGTGCGGGGTCCAGGGAGCCCCCCAGGCTCTGCCGTGCTCTTGGTGGCTGCTGGGACGCTGTTCCCAGTGGGAATGTGCCCAGCAGGGACCTGCCAGACCCTCCCTGCTCTCACTCCTTGTGCCACCCCTCTGTGCCAGCTCCACGCCCGGAGCTCTCAGCCCTGCGGCACAGGAGGGGAGAAAACCTCTCAACCTTCTTACATCAGTTGGTTTTCTCTGACGTTTTTCCCTGCTGTTTCCCTTTTTCCCCACCCCAAAAGGATGGGGTTTTTTTTCTCCCACCAATCAGGGAGAGCTCTGTGCCCCTCACTTTCCCTGGAGGCCAGGGCAGGGCTGTCCCACGGAGGGAGGTCCTGGTGTCCCCAGGCATGAAGAGCTGCTGTGTCACCTTTGTTCCTCCTCCTTTCTGTCCCTGTGACAAACAGCCCGGGCACAGGGGCTGGGGCATATTCCCTTTCCTTCTCCTCGGTGAGCTGTCCCCTCCACGGTGTCACCTCGGTGGCTTCGAGGTGAAGCTCAGCCTCGTGAGCACTGAGGGGCTTCTTGTGGGGGTAACCAGTGTTTCACTCAGGTGAAAAACGTGCTGGGAGCTTCCAGGATCTTCTGGAAGTGCTCCAGATGTGCTGGAAATCTGGGAGCTCTGAAGGGCTGCAGTGCCAGAGGTGCCCCTGGGGCCGAGCCTGGAGCTTCCCAGGTGTTTCCCTGTGGTGGAGCTGAGATGAGCTCTTGCCATGGTTGAAACTCTCCTGGGTGCTGGCACCTCCTGGCGCCTCTTTAGGGTCCAACCTGAGCACTGGAGGGGCTCCTGTCCCCACTTGGGGTGTCTGAAAAGGGCACAGGGCTCTTCCCCCCAGGCCAGGGGAAAAGAGGGACAGCAGAGCAGGGCAGGAGCGAAGCCGTGTGTGAAACACCTCCAGAGCTGAGGCTGGAGGAGGTGTCCAAAAAGCGCCACAAAGCGCCCAGGAAGCCACGGTGGCCCCCGGATGCTGCTCAGTTCCTCAAGCCTTGGGACACATCCACAGGGCAGCCACCAGGACGCTGCATCCCCGGCGGCCCCCAGGCCTGGGAGAGGGGCTGGAACACCTCCTGCTGCCACGGGAGCTGTGGGGGACCCACGGAGTGGCCCCACAGGGCCGGGGCACCAGCAGCCCTTTCCCACCGGCTGCCCGCTCGCACCTCTGCCCACCCTCTCTGCCTCTTTCTGCTCCTCCTGCAGATTTTCGGGATAACCCCGGGTGTTTCCTCTGCTGCTGCCTCCCACCACAGCCTTTTTCCTGGTGGGGGGATCAACCCCGCTGCTCTCGCTGGGAAGGGCAGAGCTGNGGGTTTCGGGGAGCCTGGGGTGGGCTGGGGGGGGGTGCTCTCTCCTCCTTCCTCCTCCTCTTCCTCGCCTCTCCATCCTCTTCCTTCCTTGCTGTGTGTGTGTCTGCCCTCCCTGCTCCCGCCCACCCCCCTGTCCCTGTCCCTGTCCCTGTCCCTGTCCCTGTCCCTGTCCCTGGCCGGGCGTTGCTATCTCACTCTCTGGTTCTTTGCAGATGGACGTAGTTTACACATTCCAGACCGGCGCCTCCTCTTTGCAGGGAGCCCTCAGGAGACAGCCTTCCATCGTGAGCCAGCACCACGATGTAAAAAATGTTTCTAGCCCAACCCATGTAGCTCTTTCCTCCGTCAATTCCACTCCCACCACTTCTGCTGTTGCTGCTGCTGCTGCATCTCCTCCTGCGGGCAGTGAGTGATGGTCTATTACAATGCATGACTTCTAATAACCACAGAGAGCACCTGCACCCACCTAACCCCGCCTGTTCTCTCTCCCTCTCAGCCTTGACTCGCACACTCAGTTCCTAACCTGAAGGATGGGGCGGGAAAACCGTTCAAAACCCCAGTTTTTATGCTGTTAACAAAGTTACGAACCTTTCTGGTCCTTTCCCACCCCGTTCCTTGTTGTTTTCCTCCAGTTTTACCTCTTCTCCTCCTTTGCAGGGCTGGTGTTTGAGTCCACCCTCCTGAGGGCGGGCAAAAATTGGCGGTTCTTGCTCAAAAAACCCCCGAGTTCACAAGCATTGCTGGGAGAAGGGCAAGGCTGAGCCCAAATCCTGCTGGTTCTTTGCACTACCCAGCCCTGGGACACCCCAGGGACGGGCAGAGGCATTGCTTGAAATCTCTTTCGGAGGCAGAGTGGCCACTGGGACTGTCCCCAGGGCTGGCTGAGCCACGGGGAGGAGGGACAGGCAGGATTTGCTCCTGCCGTGGGTGCTGCCTGTGGAAAACCCTGCCTGTGGCTCAGCTGGTGACACCTCGGGGCTGCTGTCCCCCTCTCTGTCCCCACCTGGGGACTTGCATGGCCTGGGGACAGAGCTGAGCTATCCCTGTGCTGCCCTGGGGACATCCCCGGGCTCTGTGGGGACATCCCCGGGCTCTGTGGGGACATCCCTGGGCTCTGTGGGGACATCCCCGGGCTCTGTGGGGACATCCCTGGGCTCTGTGGGGACATCCCCAGGCTCTGTTGGGACATCCCTGGGCTCTGTGGGGACATCCCCAGGCTCTGTGGGGACATTCCCGGGCTCTGTGGGGACATCCCCAGGCTCTGTTGGGACACCCCCGAGGCTCTGCTGGTGCCCAGGGCAGCCAGAGGATGCTCGGTGCCCACCTTGCTCTGCACACTCTGGATCTTGGGGTGTGCAGACACCGCTCTGCATGGAAGCAGGCACGGAAAACAATTCCTGCCGGATCCCTGTGGGAATGCTGGGTGCTGGATCTGGGTTTCCAGCCCCCTAAAAAAGCCCTCTCTGTGTGTGTGTGTGCTCATCGTGGGCTGCTCTGCACACGCCGGGATCCCGGGGTGTGCAGACACACAACTGTGCATGGGAACGGGCATGGAAAACAATTCCTGCTGGGTATCCAACGGGAATGCTGGATCCTGGCTTTCCAGACCCCCCAAAAAAAGGCCCTGTCTGATGTCAAACCCCTCTGTGTGTTGGTTGTTGGGGCTGGTGAGCACGTGGATTCTGTCTGCAGGCTGGGAGCAGGGAAAGTGTCTCTGCTGGATAATTGGCTTTTTTATTGCACAGTCACTTATCCCCATTCTCTGATTAGAGAAATACCCTCGGTGACTTTCTGGAGAGCTTTCAGGCTCCGCTGTTTATGCACTGTGGGGGAGGAGAGAGAATTTGGGATAATTTTGTTTTCTCTCTGTTTAGCTGCCTCTGAGGCTGGCAGCTGATTGAGTTTAACCCCAGCGATTCTGGAGCAGCACAGCTGCCTCCTGCTCCCGCCTGCATCTGGGAAAACCTCCAGGATTTTCTAATGGAATCAAATCTGCTCAGAGCAGCCCAGAGCAGAGGGGCTGGTGGCGGGGGGATGAGACCAAAATGCAGCTTTTTTGCAGTCTGTGGATCCGTGTTTCCCCCATTTTGCAGCGAGGGGTTAGAGAACTTGGATAGAGTCGTGCAAAACTTCTCCAGGAGCTAACCCAGCTCTCCAAATCTTCCCGCTGTTTTCTTGCCTGGATTTCTCTCGTTTCCCTCTGCTGCTTCCCTCTCTCCCCCAAAGCTCCTCTTCCCTCCACGCAGATCCGTGGTGCCCCCCCTCCCGTGGATGAGTTTTTCCAGGGCTGGATTGGCTGTGTCCCTCCTGGAATTGCTGGAGAGCTCTCGGGAATGACGTTCAGGTTCTGCAGAGCCGAGCTGCTCCCACTGGGAATTCTGCCCTGGACTGATGGAGCTGGGCAGAGCCCAGGGGATGTAATTCCCGTGGGGCACGTGGAGGTTTCACGGGAATGAATTCCAAGCCTGGAGGTTGCATTTGAAGTTTCCAGGTGGAGAGGAGGCGGGAGCCGGCCGTGGGAGGGAGGGAGGGGCGGCTCCAGCCTGGAATTCAGCTTTGCTGGCACTGCCTGGCTCATTCAGAACACATTTCCTCACTGTTCCCTTCCCTTGACGAGGGAACAGCTGAATTCCTCTCGCAGCAGGCGATGGAGGAAGGAGGAAAATCTGAAGGAAGCTGCAGCAGGAGCTCCTTGAGGGGGCTGAGCAGGAGACTGAGCACAAATTCCTTGGAATTGCTCCAGGGAGCTTTCCCTGCTGCTCCCAGCAGTGCTGGACAAATCTCCAGTGCTCTGGAGGTGATTCCTTGGGAGAGGAGATCTGGTCCCACATGAGCTGCTCCTAAACTTGAGTTTGTAGGTGCCACCACCTCATGGCCCTGGCTGTCCCTGGGCTCTCCTTGGCCATCCCCTTGTGACCCTGGCAGTCCCTGGGCTCTTCTTGGCCACCACCTCATGGCCCTGGCTGTCCCTGGGCTCTCCTTGGCCATCCCCTCATGGCCCTGGCAGTCCCTGGGCTCTCCTTGGCTTGCTTGGATTCATTGTCCTTGGCTCAGCTGGTTTTTTGGGGGTCAGGACTTGCTGTTCTCGAGTCGTTGCTGATGTGACAGATCCTCGGTGGCCTCGGTGGTGTCCTGTGCATTCACCTGAATTGATCCCAGGGTTACCAGTGCACAGATCCAGCTCTGAATTGCTTCTGCACAGATCCAGCTCTGAATTGCTTCCCAGCTCCCTCCAATTCCCGTTTTTCCAGGCCAGCGGTGCTCCAGCACTGGGGATACCCAGCCCATGCCATCCCCTGTGCTCCAGCTCGGGTGTGTGGCCCTGCTCCCTGTGCAGGAGCTCCTGGGGCTGCTTCCAGCTGGGATGAGCCGATCCCGTGCTGGGAAATGCCTCCTGATCCTGAGCCAGGTGCAAAACACACGTGGAAAGGTGTCCTTGGTGAGAGGGGGCAGGGAGAACTTCCAGGGTTCCAGGCACAAGGAAGGAATTCCCTGCTCTGGTTTTGTGGGATCAGAGATCCTCAGGAGGTTTCGGGCTGTGCTGGGGGGGTGAAGTCCCAGCTGGAGGAGTGCCACATGCAGGGACAGTGTCAATAAAGGGAATTTTAATCAAAGGACAGTTTAAATAAAGGGAGTTTAAACAAAGGGACGGTTTAGCCCAGCCCATCTCAGCAGGGTTTGGGGTGAGCTCTCTGCTCCCCCAGCACACCTGCAGCCCACAGAGGTGGCAGAGCACCCACAGCTCCTCATTTCCCTCATCACCAGGGGGATTTTGGGATCATTCCCCCTGCTGCTCCCCGCTGTTTTTGTGGGATCTGGGGATCTCCTCCCTTTTGGGGTGCAGTTTCAGCCACGGGGACATCCCGGGAGCAGGCAGGGGATGTTCCTTGTGGGTGGGGAGCACTGGAGGCAGCTGAGGAAGAGCAGAGCTCCTTCCACAGGGCAGGAGATGGAGCACAACGACTGAAATTGAGCCTTTCCTGGTGCTTCCAGCGCTGCTGGAAAATCTTCAGGGTTCTGGAGGTGATTCCGTGGGAGAGCAGATCTCCTGCCCCTCACGAGCTCTTCCGAGGCTTCTGTGGAGCTTCCCTAAAATCCCCGCAGAGCTGGGATTGTCACCCACCTGATCCAAAATCCGTGAGCTGGAAGGGTTTGAGGCTGGAATTGCAGAGGATCAGGAGGGAGCAGGGAATCCACAGCCAGGCGTGTTCCCAGAGCTCTCCCTTCCAGTGCAGCCATTCCCTGCTGCTCCAAACCAGGCTCTGGATCTCCTGCTTGAGCCTGGATTTTGGTGGAGCCGCCCCAGGGGCCTCACAGGATTGTGTGTGCGGCTGGAATTCCTTTAGAATATCCAACAGAATGCGAGTTGGCTCCCAGCTCCACCAAATTCCCATTTTTCCGGGCCAGTGGAGCTGCCTTTGGAAACCACTGGGAAGGACCCGGAGCTCCAGCAGCGTGGGGAAACCCACAGAGAGCTGGACCCAGTTCCCTCCTCACGGCACCCTTGCACTTCCCACGGGCTCCCAAAAACCTCGAGATGCCTTTGGGCATCCCCATTCCTTTCCAGAGGCGTAGGACCGACCCTGCCCAACCCCACTGATGGCTCCCACGGTAGAGTTTGCCCCGCTGTTTGCCTAACCCACCTCTTTTTGGAGCCGTAGTTTGTGCCCCCACCTCGTTGTCCTCGTGTCTGTCCACCCCGAGGCGCGCACACACACACACCGACTTAACGAGCGACTAATTAATGCATTTTTGGCTTCCATCCATCCAGACCCGTGATGTTGGGGTGGTGGTTTTGAGTCGTCCCGTGTCTTTTCTTGCAGCTTCTGAGGCCGCCCCGTAGCCGGTGGGTTCCCACCACCCCCGTAGTGCCTGACTCTGCCCCCAGTTCACCGTAGATGTCTCATTTTTTGACCGAGCTGTCTGTTCAGTGGTGGTTTTGTTGCTGTGGTCGTGCTGTATTTTTGTTCGATGGTTGTCTCTCATCAGTTATTTTCACTTTCTCCCCTCGAGCTCTGCCCTCTGGCAGCCCCACTGACCCCTGTTTTTTTCCTCCCCACGCCGCCCAGATCAAAGTGGTGAATGCGTTCCGTAGCTCCCTGTACGAAGGCCTCGAGAAACCCGAATCCAGAAGCTCCATCCATAACTTCATGACTCACCCAGAGTTCATCCTGGAGGAAGACGAGCCTCGGACACCATTCCTTGACGGCACCGAAGACGAGCCCGAGCCTGACGGACTCCAAAAGCGAGGTGGGGGCAGCCCGGCGGGGTCGACGGCCCTGAACAGAAACAACAACGCTGTGGACAGCGAGTTCAGCTTCCCAGAGCCTGGGAGCCCCTTCCACAGCCTGGAGACATCCGTTTGACCTTAGAACTTGGAATTCCTCCTCCTCCTCCTCTTCCTCGTCCTCGTCCACCTCGGCCCTGTGTGATCCCGGCAGCAGTAACTGGTCACACGCTGCGGTCACTCCGTGTCAAACTGCTCATGCCTGTGTCATCATCTGGGTTGGTTTATTTTTTTAGGGTGGGGGAAATTATCTGGTTTTTTCTCTTTTTTTTTTTTGTTTTATTTTTGTTTTTTTTATTTTTTTTTTTACCAGTCTTTAGCAGTGGGAACCAGAGTACCACCATGCTGGGTGTTGGGAGAGAGGCTAAGCCAAACAAAAAAGCCAAAAAAAACCACAGAATTGTGTTTCTCCACAGAACTGTGCATCTCCATCCCTGATTTTTTTGTGGTACTCACCCAGGGGAAGCTGCCAGCTTCTTTCCTCTCCAAGAGTTGGGCTCCAGGCACCTGGAGCCAGGGGGTTTTCACTTTGGAAAAATGCATGTTCCAAGGAAATTCAAATTGTTGTAGTCTTACACGCCCTCAGCCCGAAGGCGGGGGGTGCACTTGTGACTTGATTTTATTTTTTATTATTTTGGTGGGGTTTGTTGGTTGTTTTTCTTTTTTTTCTCCACTCGTGGTTTTTAGAGGTTTTCTCTTCTAATGTTGGGGTTTGCTCTTTGCTTGTGGGGTTTGCCCCCTTACCCAGTGGGAAGTGGGATGGGGCAGTCACCGCTCCAGTGCGAAAATTAAGGAATAAACTAAAAAATCCCAGCCAGAGGAAGGTGTTTACTCCAAGGTTGAGAGATCCAGGGATGCCCACCAGTCTTCCACCTTTGAAAAATGGTTACCTGGGTTTTTTTCCAGCTCCCCCTCTGTGTGTGCCCACACGTTTTTCTCTCTCTGTTTCCAAACCGGGAGATGAGAAATGAAGGTGGCTTGGCTCTAACCTTGCTGGAGGGGAGAGATTCAGATTTTCCTGCAAACGTGGAGGTGAAACTGCCAGGGAAAAGGTGGAGAGACCCTCCCCCAGTTGTGAGGGATGCAGTTCCTTCCTGAGGAATTTTAGGAGAGCTAAAATTCTCTCTGCTGCTCCTGGTCAGGGGGGAAACTCTTGGTGAGAGAGTTTTTGCAGCTCTCCCAGCTCCTGCCCTCCAGAGCAGAGGGATTTCTGTCCTTTTTTCTGTGCTGTCGGGGTCCAGCACCCCTCAGCCTCGCAGTGCCGGCTCCAGGGAAGCGCTGAGGGATCCAGGAGATGCCCAAAAGCCGTGGGAGGCTGAGTGGAGAACACTGAGGGCACAGCAGGTCCTGAATCCTGGGAGGGATCAATCCAGCTGATGATCCAGTGGAAGGCAGGGAGGCCCTGGGATGATCCCTGATTTTCCTGGAGGTTTGGCTTGGATGGCTGCAGCTCTTCCAGAGAAGGTGCTGCTGGAGGCTTGGCCTCATTTCGCTGCTTTATTTGGAGGCCATCTCCTCCCCTCCAGCCTCGCCTCCACCCCTGGGAACAATCCTGGGAGAATCCCTTTCCTTGGAGCTGGAATGTCCCTCTGGTGATCCCTGGAGCAGGAGGTGGGGTGGGGGCTTCTTGTTGTGACCCCTGCCCTCCTCCATCCCCTCTGGCTCGCTCGGGGATGCGCTGGAAGCGCCTGTGCGAGGTCATTCCCATCCCTGGGAGCGCAGAGGATGTTTATTTTTTTTTTTGGGGAAAGGCTGGCTCTGGCTGGGTTCTCCTCCCCTTTCCCGTCAGGAACGCACAGCGGAATCTCCCGTGCCTTGTCCGAGCACTGCCTGCAGCACCTCCTGCCACGCCAGGGCCCAGATCTTCGCCGAGATTTTTAAGTGTTCCTTAAACCACACCGCAAACCAAGTGTCTTGGCTTCGCCCCACCCCAGCACCGCCTCGCCCTCCCCGTGGCGAAGGAAAGGTCCTTAAATCCCAAAAATCCCAAATATCCCCAGTGTCCCACCCTGGTGCTGGCGAGCTGGGCGTTGTTCACTGCCAAAAGCGAGAAGGAATTGCCACCACTGCCCGTCCCCAGTGCAAATTCAGTGTCCACCCCATGCCCAGCTCCTCCTTCCCTCCCTCCCCCCACAAAAATAACCCAGGGGAGAGAGGGGATCTTGGGTTAAACACCGGGAAATACAAAACAAAATGAAAAAAAAACCCAAATAAGGGGTGGTTGTGGGGTTTTGGTTCTGTGCTAAAGGTGACGTTGCTTAAAAAACAAAAAAAAAAACAAAAAAAAATCTCATTTTTTTTTCTATTTTAAATACATGCAAAAAAAACCAAAAAAAAATATATATATGGTGTTCTTACAAGCTTACATAAATATTTATTAAATACTTTTTTTTGGGGGGGGGATGCACCGATTTTTTTTTTTTTCTTTTGATATTTTTTTAATACCTCAGACCTGTTGAAAGAAATAAATAAATAAAAAAATAAAAATAAAAAAGAAAGACTCAAACCAACAACAACTTCAAGCCAACTTTGGAGGCTCTCAAAGTCACTCCCAGAAATCTGTGACTGGCAGGGTTTGCCACAAAGGGTCTGGTCGTTCCTTTTAAGTTTGCTCTATTTTTGTCGTTCTAGTTTCCATTTTAGGAGTGGGGGGGGAGGGAGAAATAATGCTATATAAATATTATGCAAAAAAAAAAAAAAAAAAAAAAAAAAAAAAAAAAAAAAAAAAAAAGAAGAAAAAAAAAAGAAAAAGAAAAAAATTCTAGTTTTCTTTAGCTCAGAAACTGATATTTTTACGTCAGCCATATGTATTTTGTTTAAAGAAAAAAAAGAAAATAAAGAAATCTCCAGTCCCGCCACTGTGTGAGGGCAGTTGCGAGGGACACTTTAATTAATTCCGTGGATTAATTAATTCAGCCATCGGATGCCAGTCAGCTTCCTTTTCTCTGAGCAGCCATCTTTCTACTAGATGTGAGTTGGATGACACAAATGGGATTTTTTTATATAAATATCTATAAATTTTGTTGGTGTATGGCTGGTTGCTTCAAGTATAAATGTTTCTTGTGCAAATTTCCTGTAAAGTTACTCTTTTTTTTTTTTTGTTTGTTTGGGTTAAGTTTCAGTGATATCCTGGCAGCAGCTGACTCTTGGCTTAAGTTATTGAGGACATTATACACAAAAAAAAAAAAAAAAAAGAAAAAAAAAAAAGAGATTTGGGGGAGATTGGTGCTCCAAAAATACAAAAAGGCATGGTCAGCGGCGGCACGGACTTTTGGGGACTCTCTGCAACATGCCTTGACTAGGGGGAGATATAAATATATATATAAATATATATTATTATGAATATTTCTGGGGTTTTTTTTTCCTGCTTGGTTTGAACTGCCACGAGTGCGTGCACGGAGCAGGGGAGGGACAAAGCGCCATGCCCGCCAGGAAGCAAAGCCACCCCCCCCTCCCCTCCTCGTTGTGATCCATGTTCAACTTACCTTGGAATGCTTTGTTATTAAAACACTCTGAACATCCTTCTGCATCTGGTTCTTCATCCCAGCAGGGCCCCTCAGTGGATTTTCCGTGGATTTTCCGTGGAATTGGCGGATTGGTACCAAAGACATCCCTGGTTTGCTGGCCAGGCAGCTCTCGAGGCGTTTTTCTCCTGCTGAGGTTTCTATGATTTGCACAGGGTGTGGGGAGGGAGGTTAATTTCAGGTTTTATTTCCTTTTTTTTCCCCCTCCCCGAAAGGTTTTTCCGTGCAATAAAGCTTCCGAGTGAAACTTCCCCACCGATCTCAAGAAGGAAACAAACTAAATCACATTTTAGCATGGGCGGCTTTTCCCACCTGCAGGGCCTGGAGGGCTCAGCCCCTCTCTGAGGGTGACCCGAGGGGAAGGCTGATAAAAAAAAACCCCATCCCAAATTCAGGGGGGCATCCCCGAGGTGCCAGCACAGCTCCTGTCACCCTCTGGGACCGCAGACCCCAAATCCCTGCAGGGTTTTTTTGTCCCTCTCTGGGGACACCTGGACCTGCATCGCTTCTGCTCCATCCCCAATCCCTCATGGAGCCCTCAAAACGCTCCTCTGCACCCCCAGATTTCCCCTTGGGGCACAGGGATGTGGAGGGAGCTTTTTCCTGCTCCTTTTCCACCCAAACTGGGGGATTTTGGCACCTCTTCCTCTCCAGCATTCCCCCCTCACCCTGACTCTGCCCTGTCCTGCTCCCCAAATCCCTCAATTTTCATCCAGCAAAGCCCATGGCTAAAACTGCCTTTAGTTTCTTTCCTCCCCTTCAATAAATATATATATATACAGTCTGAACTCAACATTTATGTGTGTGTATATATATTTATCCAATGCTCTCACAAAACAAAAAAAAATCTTTCTTTTGAAGAGGGCACATGGAGCTGAGTTTTTCTTTTTTTTTTTTTTTTCCAGTAACTCAGTATAATAAGCACTGGTATTTTTATATAAAAAACGAGAGGAAAAAGGAAAAAAAAAAAACCAAAATACAAAACAAAAGACTGAATATTATGTGGTATGCATGACATTAAAAAACAAAACAATGGTGGTTTCAAAGCAATATGTACCCTGGTGTGTTTGCCATATCCTAGAGTCCAGCTTAAAGTGCACCTGATCTGTATTGCATTTTGATATTAATCTCTATGTACAATGTTTTGCATGTAATTTATATGGATCTTGGGAGAAAAAAAAACAACTAAATAATCTGAATGAACTGTCTGTTGGCTTCTTCCGAGAAAACAGACTCCAAGTAGAGATAATATTCCAAAGTGGAAGCAGCAGAGTGGTTGAGGGGTGGGAAAAAGTGGTGCAGTTCAAAAAAAAAATATGGAGAAGGAGAAGGGGAACGGTTTGGAATCAATAAAGCTTTGGCTGTTGAGCAGAAACAATGCGAGTGCATCCAGAGAATAAAATGTGCCCACGTGTAACCGTGCCCCTCCACCTCCAAGTAAAATCCCCCAAATGCCACCAAAAAGGTGCTGCTGGGTCCTGAGGGGCCGCGCTGGGTCAGGGATTCTCCTTTCCCCATTCCTGGCTGGCCTTGGTGGAGTTGGGATTTCCTTCCAAACCCAGAGTCCTTTCCCTACAAAAAGGAATTTTTTTTTTGTCCAGAAAAGAAGAGAAATGGGAAATAAAAGCAACCAGCCCCTTAAATCCTCTCATTTCCAAGCATTGATTGCACTGGAGCTGGTTTTTTACGGAGAAGAAGCATCTTCTCCAGTCTTCTCCAAGTCTTCAATACCCCAGGGCCATGATGAGGAAATCCCAGTGGGCTGAAGGAAAATTTAAACCCAAATATCTCCAAGTTGAACCTTGGAGCTGATTCCGAGGGACAGGAACAGGGTGTAAAAGCTTTGTTGTGCAATGTCACCCTTCTTCTCTTCCCTGCTTTCCCAGGGAGGCGTCCACGGCCACAGCTCTTAAATAAATACAACAGCCACAATGCCTTTCTTTTTTTTTTTTTTTTCTTTTTGGTAGACATAATCCGGGCTCCATACAAAGACAAACCTAATAAAGGCCTGGTAACTCAAAATACCTTCCAGTTTGGAATTCTCATCCCTGAGGCGGCGTGAGGGAGAGGACGGCACCACCGGAGCTGAGGGCAGGGGGGCTCTGGCAGGGACTGGGGACAATTCTCGGGACATCGGGAGGAATTTAATCATGGAAAGGGTGGCCAGGCTTTGGAAGAGGCTGCCCGGAGAGGTTTGGAGTCCTCCTCCATCCCTGGAGGTGACAAGGAAGGACTGCCCGAGGCACTGAGGGCTTTGGAGGATCGAGAAACAACTTGATCCCGCAGGGATTTCCCAACTTCACTTCTGAGGGCGCAGAGTAGGGTGAAGAACCACGATCCTATTCGCTTCACAGAGAAAAGCTTTACCCCCATTTCTGAGGCTTTTGGAAGGATTTTTGAAGTGCGGAGAAGCAAAAGCACAGCAAACCCCGCCCCGCTCCGCCTCACAGCTCCGCCCGCCCTCTCCGTCGGGAGGATGAAGCCATTTCCGGCCGCCATCTTGGCAGAGGGCGCGTTGAGGCTGCGCGCGCGGCGGGCGCCATCTTTGAGCCGGGCACTGGGGACACGGCG